ATCCTCTTGATCAAGAACCAGACAAGACAATCCTTAGTCTTCCTGATTCAGAACTTGGTCATGAACAATATAAATCCATCAGCCCACCTACTAATCCAGTTTTGGGCACATGAAGGATTTAGAGTTGATATGGGCCATTTTCTAGCTCTGTGGAATTGTCGCAAGTAAAAGGAGTGAGCAACAGGGCCGAGTGGGGATAGATCGCATTTAGGGACAGTCAGAACAGACTCCGTGTTTGTAGTCCCGCATGAAATCACCGTGTGCCTGGAAAGGCTTGGATTTGGCTGGAATCAAGAGTAATGACTAAACCTTTTTTGGAAATCTTTCCTAAATCTAAAATCCCTTTAAAACATTCACTCAACTAAGAACCTACTACAAAGAGTGCAAGGCACAGGGACCAAACAGAAGCACTGTCCCTAGCTACAGAGCTTACCCTTTAGTGAAGGGAACGGTGATAGGGACATGGATAACTAATTCAAAGGGAGATGTAGTAACAGAGACAGAATTCAGAGAAATTGTGTCTCACAGGAACAACCCAAGATTTCTTGGCGAACAGGAAGTTGAGCTTGGACTCTAAACAAAAGGGTCCTTTCCATAGCAGTTGACTATCTGGATTTATAGAATTGTGGTCTCACCCACCTTTCAAAGGGTTAAACACTAGTAACTACTTCCCCCAAGCAGGTGTTCAGGTAAAGGGAACACCTCTTTATGCCATTGAAATCAGAGTATTAAAGTGTCTGTCTGACCAATGTTCCAGTACCAAGGGCCTTCTAATGACTCGACCCCCACCAAGCTCTGGAAATGAAGAGTGAGTGAAATCGCAGGGAAAGGTATGCACATATCCTCCTACACACACACTAAAAGCAGCCGCCGCTTGTCTTCGCGTCCTCTTGTTCTTGACTTAATCCCCCCTAGGTCACTTCATGTGTACAAACAGCCAGACCAGCTCATGGGACAAGGCCCCTACTTCTGCTTCCTAGGACCCACTTGGCTGCATCCAGGTTGGCCTTTGGCCTAACAGGGCCATGAGCTAGAGTGACCCCAGGATGTCTTAGCCTCCGCCGCCAGCCAGGGCCACTCCTGTCTAGCTCTGGATGCTGGTAAGAGAAGTGGCAATCTAAATGGACTCTGTTTAGCAACCTCAAGTCAGGTGCAGTGGGTCTCCAGGTAACTGCTATGTACGTGCCATTGGGTGATTTTTCAAAATGTCTCAGCCTGCAGAAAGCAACCTAGCCTTTCAGGGTTCGAGTCAGAAGTACAAGCTCAGGGAGGAGGTCTCAGTAATTAGTGGCATAACCAGGACTAGAATATATACTTTCCGGTTTTTCCATCAGCTTTGTTTTCAACCTCCCTACACCTGCCCATCATCCATCTACCTATTTATTAAATCAATTATGACAAGGCAGTGTACCATGAAAAGCAGGGCATCGGAATAAAACAGCCTCTTTTCTTACAACGTAGGAGGGGATAATAGAAATGCCAAAATAATTACTAATGAGGAATGTAGGAAATATGTAAGAGAAAGGAGGGTGCCATAAAGCTGGCAGAAAACAAATCATGGAACAGTTCAAGGCATGAGGGCCACCGGAGCAGTAGTACCTTAAAGAACAGATGAGATACTATGGATGGCCAGAGTATTCCAGCAGACGCAACAGGAGCAAAACCATGGAGGTAAAAAACCAGGGGCACCTACAAGGTATAGTGCTTATCCATTTGTTTCAAGTGTAATGGATGGCGGGCATGATTGGCAAGATGGACTTGGATACAACCTAACCACCATAAATGCGGGATAAGGGCTGAGGGGCAGTTCTCACAGGCACACCAACAGGGCATTCATTCCTTCATGGGCATGGCAGCTCATGCCACCTCCTTTCCATTAGCTGACACTTCCAGCCTAATTCAAATTTTCCTGTACTTATTTTGGGGGAACTTACCTTTTCCTTCATCTTATACATCTTAGCAACAGTACCCACTAGAAATTCATATCTTCAAGGATGTCAATTCAACCCAACAGGTAGTAAGACTTTAGTTTGTGCTAGAGGGTGACAGAAGTATGGTCAAGTCATGATTCTACATTGAGACCACTATTCTACAGTGATTCTGAAAACCTTACTTCTAGAGCTCTCTTGTCAAATAGCAAGCCAATACTTAGTACAATGCAGGTATTTCTAGAGAGCTTGAGGTCCAAATATTATTACCTTTTGTTGAGCTGAATTATTAAACAGAAAAGTCTAGTCTAGCATGTCCTTTATATTCTCAGCTAACATCTGAAATTACTTCTCCCAACTTGAGAGACCATCTCTCTATTCAAAGTATGAAATCACATCCATGGGGAAAAAGAGGGTATGGAGGAGAAAAATACCAAATGTGGATTTAAAAATGAAAGACAAAATGTAACGTTTTTTAATCAAGTCATTGCTTAGTGGGAGTGCGTAAAAAGAATAGTTTCTTTCAGAATGAGTTACCTTTTCTGGGTAAATTCTCTAGAAAGAATATTGTGGGGAAAGAGGTATTACCTACCCTAGTGAGTGAATTTTAGCCCAAATCTTTTTTAAAAGCGGTGCTTACGTATCAAAGTAGTACTCTAAACTCAGATTTGTTCCCCATTAGATATATTTCTACCTCATTTAAAGGTTCACCATGCTCGGCATTCCATTTAGACTGAATAGTATGTAAGAAGCCAAAAAACTGGATGTTCCCACAATGCATTTCAGAGCATTAAACTTAAATTTTGTACTGAGTTTAAAATTCCTACTATCTCATATTTGAATGGTTCAATTTTCCAATGCTTAATCCATTGTAATATTTTCAGCACTAACAAGTTAAAATGAACAAATTAAATCCCAAAGGGGTGCATCTTGCTACTTAGTCTATCACACATAGATAAAATGCCTACTCAGTGTGATTCTTGCACATTAGATGATAGTGCAAGATTAAAAAAGAAAAAAAAAAAAGCTAAGCAGCCAAGTTCTACTTCAAGACAAACACAGCAGGGACCTAGGAGGCTTTCGATGTAAATCTAAAAATCTAGACACAATGCACAATACACGTCTGCAACTGCTGTAATTACTTGAAATGTATGCCGTGCACAAAGTGACCAAGACAAAACCCTTAACACCTTTAAGCCCTCTAGGTAAGATTGCCAAAGGGTGTCCATGTCTCATTGTCTGGATCTCATCATAATCAACCTGTTGGCTATAATCACTTACCTAGAACTGAGGCAAACTACTGCAGTGTAAATAACTCGTCATTTCAGGGAAGAGAGGCTGGTACAAGGCTGGAAAGGATGGTGATTGCTCCCTTTCTGAATCTTCAAACATGCTAAAGCACTTCCAAATCACAAATTATTTGGTCCTTTCTCCCAGGAAGGCCATTTTCAGAAACCTCATTCCCAAACCTGACTGGCCCAGGGAAGCCATGGGAGGAGACCGAATTACCTCGCAGCCATAGTTGTGAACACGCTGGAGCCATACTTGGAAACTGGCCCATAGAGAACGGGGTGAACGGGACTAGTGATATCCAATGCATAGCTAAGACAACGTTGATGAAAAAGCAGTTAGGTTGATTTAAAACATTCCAAAATTAGTTATAACATTGTCCAACAAAGGTTCAGTCAGTCACTGGGTAAAAGGGTATTTACATGATTTATCTTAGACTTAGTAACTTTTTTTTTTTTGACTTAAGATTACCCACTAAGATGGGCCAGTTTCTGCCAATAGAACCAGAGTGTGCAATCTCACGAGTCTCACCCCAACCTCACCAAAGCAAATGACTTCTGCATAACTAGCAGTCATTTCCAAAGGACTCACCCTTCATGTTCTCCCATTTCACTCATTCCGATTATTTGCACAAAAGACCTACCCTTTGTCTTAAAAGTTGCCTGATTTAATGTTTAGGCGGAAAAGCAAATCCCATGTTAATGACTCTTCTGCAAGTGATTTTACATTTCCTTTTTTCCCAAAAAAGGTAGCTGCCAACTTAAATTATGTCATGACACACACAGGGTGAAAGGTCAATGTTAACTTCCAGCAGCTCCAGGGGATGTTACCTGAAATCTCACACTTTGCTTCCTTACACTTACTATTCCAAGTCATTTGAACCCCAAATAGAAGGGCACCGTGTAATTCTTCAGGTCACACCGCCAGCATTGGCTGCGGAGTCGGTTACAGGTCAAACAACTGGAAGTTACAATTCTGATTCCAATACTTTAGGGAGATGTAAAATACTATACATTGGGCTGGGCAGTGTTTGTTAAGCTACAAAGTGCTTGATCACCTATGATGGAAGAGGTTCAAGATGATTCATCCTTCCATGTAAGAGACTACAAGTCACAAGCCCACAGAGCAGTAACTGACAGCTAGCTAAAGTAGAAGTGAGTTCTAAGGTAGCCTGGGGACATCTTCAACAATTAATTGGCCTGGAAAACTGGGTCGGAATTACTCACAAAGCTCCTCATCCTTTCCCAGAAGAAAATGTGATAGTATGTCTTTTATATGGAAATTTCTTTGTACATATGTATAAACTTGGTATGGCCTTAATGCTGCAGTTAAGGATTTGTTTGGCTACCACCTTAAGCAGCGTGTTAAGCAATCGCTTCCTTAATGTAACATTTTTACTTCTTACAGGACTCTTAACCTTGACCAACCAAATCCCTTGACCCCCTTACTCTTCTCCTCCTTTTTTGCATGAAGTCATCAAAGTTACCGCAATTATTTTCTGGCTTGTAAAAAAAAAAATCTATTTCTGCAGTTTGAAGATGGAATGTAAAATTTCTGTGATACATGTATATAAAAATATATTTATTGAACCATCCATATACACATATCCATGCTGATTCCAATGGAAAAAAATTAAAGTTTTCTGAAATTTTCTCTGTGGTTAATTCATAGTTGTTACTATTCAACCAACTTGATATGAAAGAACTTTTGAAGTCTTGCAATTACCCCAGAAACCTACATATAATCTGGAAAACAACATTTCACTTAAGACAAGGCTTTATGTCATTCATTCAAGAAATATTTATTGATATGTGCGCTACGGGAGATACAAAGATGACTCAGACACAGGTCCTGCCCATAAGGGGCTTACAGTCTAGTAGGGGAGATAGAACACACACATGTGATACATAGTCAGAGCTATGTTTCATAGGATGAATCTAATATTGGGTATAATGTAGGCTGAGGCAAGAAGAGGTGAAGGAAACTGAGAGGCCACTGAAGTTGAAGTAATCTAGGTGAGAAGAGATATGAAAAGACTGTTGAGGTAGAACTGACAGGACTTAGCTGGAGAATGGATGTGGGGAATAAGAAAAAGGGGAGCAGAAAACTTAAGACTTGGATGGAGCATGGGTGATGAGGTGAACTGAGAGAACAATGGAGTAAGTCTGTGAAAAGAAATGAAAATTGGCACATAAAACTCAACTGCGTAGAAACAAAGTGCCTGGGATATACTGGGCACAGCCAGAAAGAAATGACTAATTACTCAGACCAAGGATGGAAGTATCTCAAAAGGACTAGTGACTTCCCCCCTCCTCTGCTCACTCCTCTAATTTCCCAGCAATCCCCTCCACTATGAAATGTCCCAGTGCCTAAAACTTACTTCAATTAAGTCCTATCTCTATGTATGCCTCCCTTGTGAACATGAAAGCAAATACATTAATTTGCTCAACTCAATGAGTCATCATTTAAGGACTTTCATGTAAGTTACTGTACCTTCTGGTGAAGTACAGGGCTTATCCCCCAAATCCTTGTCCTCTAGGAGCTTATGGTCTAATAAGGTAGTAAAACAGATACAGGTCATTCTAATTCTAGGTTGAAGGGGTAAGTTATGAGCTAGGAGAAAGGAATAAAGTGCTCTAGGAACATTTTTATAAAAAATGAAGGTTGGGACAGAATCTCAAAACAGAAAGGACAATGCGGAAGGGAAGATGAGAATGAGTTTGTTCCTCACTTCAAATTCTGGCCAGATCAATCCCCAAAAGGGGGTTTCACATTCCTGTTGCAAATCTTCTCTCCTATGGAAAAAAAAAATTAGCTCTCGAACTGGGTCTTCCAAAAAATGACTTCGATGGCAAGGGATTAGGGTGGGGGTGGGGAGGGTGCAGGTGCAAGTCTATCTTCAGGGAAGAGGGAAGGCACTTGAAGCCACGGAGTCGGCAATGCCTGGCTTATTAGAGGAACCGGAAGTAGTGCAGCATGGCTGCAGCACCACTTCCCTACGGATGGGAGAATCACTGGAAAGGAAGATTCGGACCCTGGTACATACATGGCACCACCATGTACTGAACAGGGTACGTGCCTAAGACCAAATTGCTGCCCCTTAGGAGCTTACAGTTATAACAATACAAGGTGGAAAAAGCACCACAATGTACAGAATGCAAAATGCTGACGGATTTAGAAGATTACAGCTGAGTTTCAGCTATTAACACATTAGGATACCCAATAGCTTTCTGACAGCTAGTAGTAAACCCATCCCTGAGGGGAGCACAAGTGAACATCCTTAGACAACAGGCCCTGGTAGAAGTGGGCATGCAGACAGTTCTAAGAAAACAGAGAAACCTGGGTGTGAACACGAGCTACAGAAGCAACTTGGAAAGCATATAAAATGCGGCTCCTTCCCTTCTCTCCCCACATCCTGACCTTCATCAGCTCTGGCTTCCTCCGGTGAACCTAGGGCAGACGGTGATCCCTGAAGGCACTCCGTGTTACTTCTACACGCCAATATGGGACTCTGTACTAGTAATTCTCTGAGCTATCTATCTTTTGAAAAATGAAAGGGCTGTATAAATCACTTTAGTCCTTTCTAGCCCTAACTTTCTATGATTCAAAGAATTCTAGCAGCCCCTCCTGGTCTTTTGCAGTAATAATCAGAATGGGGACAAGTTTTTAAGGAAAAATTCTATTTCTCACTTAAAAGTATGATTTTTTTCCATATAAATCACAAATGATTCCTACACCATCAGCTAAGTTCCACCTCGACCCCACTCTTCTTCAAAATCTAACATCTACCTATATGAATTTATTTTTAACATGATGTGTTCTACATAATCTACTTAAGTGTGCACTGAATCTAAAGGAAGGAAGTCCTCCCTACTTCCTTATGCCAGCTTCTCGGTATAATGTCTTCATTTAAAAGGGCCAAATCAGTGTATATACACACTCTTCACAAAAATATAGAAGAATTTAAACTGAATCCAAAGTCAAACAGGTAACATCAAAGCTTGGGGAAAGTATATGAGTAACTAAAATGGCTAATTATATAGCAATAGTTAAAACTGTTTATATCCAGATTAAATGACATAATCGTCTCTGTAATTACTACCAAAAGTATAGGCAAACTTCCCATACGTGGGTTTATGCAAACTACTTGTTAAAATAATTCAACAGGAAATTTTTGGTAAACATTCCTTAATTTGCTTTTTAAAGAAACTAAAACACATTGGACAGACACAGGTCCCTTAGGAACCTGTGACACTGGCCACATGTCTAAGTACTAAACACGTAGGAATTTCTGTAGTTGGCCAGGTCACGTGGTTTATGGGAGCAACAGTGGAACTGATCGCCAACGCTGTTTTCTTCGCACAGGGAACGAAAAAAATGACCAGGTTCAAATAGAAATTGGAGGATGAGAGGCTGTCCAAAGTTTTCAGAACAAGTGATATAATCAAAAAGTGAACAACCTTGATTCTAAGCCTTACATTAGCATAAATCAAAACTAAAGCTGATGGTTCTAGGCCCCGTCTAATCAACTGTACTCATTCAAGGCACGATGAGACTGTTTCATCAAAGCATGAGCAAAGCGGTCTAACTTCAGCATTATCCTGAGCTGGATACATATTCACTAAAAAGAATGTAAATAAAAATTTTATCTACATGTGCCACCATTTCCCCTTTACTATCATCTTCTAAGAGTTCACAAGCCTACCTATGGTCCCCAGAACCTCAATATCACAGTATACAAATACAAATCACAAAGCATCACTGTCTTTAATTATCTAGTGCCACATGGCCATGACTTGATCAACAACTTTAACCTACAACCTCACCCCACACAAGACGCTGCTAAGTTTCTAACACATTCTTTAAGGTTTCTAAAACATTTGTGGAAGACTACCTTTATTGTCCACTGTCCATTTTTGGTATGGGTGGCAGATAGCTAGAACCCCATATTCAAATAAATGTTGAAGTCGTTTCTTTTATAAGGTTCAAAATTGCTGAACAAAAAGGTTATTTGTATCCAGTTCCTGCAGATTCTTTTAAGTAGCACAAAAATAAAACTTCAATATAAAAGATATCTTTTATCAGTAGGTTTGACAGATGCAATCATTTATACAAAATAGTCCACTCAGCATAAACAAGGGTCTACAAATTTAAACCTCATAGAAAAATTATTTTCACATAGATTCCAACAAATTGCTGTCTATAAAGTGCCATGTTGTCCACTAAATCATAAAACTCTACAAGGGTTTTCCAAATAAAGGGATGAAGTATCAGAGGATGGCAGTTATAAGCAAAAAACACAACTGCTATATAAACTCACCTGGATTATGCTATAATAAAAATAGTTATCATCCACATCCAAATTTCAAGACTGTACTAAATGTATTATCAAACCAGATAACAAAATAACCTAGGAACAAGTTATTATTATTGTGTTACCATCTAGTCTGCACATCAAAAGAAGCCCTATAAAGTCAATGTTTACTTATCTTGTTTGCCCTAAAGGAAATGGGGACCAGAAATGTTAACCTCGTTATCAATGTTTTGTAGACAGACTGTGGCCTCTATACTGTAGTCATGTCCTATTATCTTAATATGTCATTCAAGTGTAAATAAGTAGGCATTTTGGGTCTAGAGAAAAAGCATCAGTTTTGGAGGCCAATCTGCTCTTTCTTTGCTCCATGGATGGCTTGGAGGCCTAGTCATGTAACTGCTCTGATGTCATTATCTTCTTTATCTATTTGGGGAAAATAGCACCTAACCCACAGTCATTGTAAAAATAATTAGTTTTCTGACCTAAAACTAAAGTGCAATTCAACTAATGCTGTGGCAGTACCCTACTCATTCAAAGCCAAACAATTACTTTTGGGTTATCCATTTCACTGCTCCCCAGCAATAGCTCAAAAAGTTGAGAGCATAGGAACACACAGTAAAGCCCAACCTCACCATAAAAGCAAACAAAAGTGTTTTTCTAAGTCCCAATGTCTGTTTATTTTAACAGGCCTTAAAGGACTAAGGCCCATCGAACCAAACTAATCTTACCTAGTGCGATACTAGGTAAATAAACGGGCGAAAGGTGCTAAGCTACAGGAAAAAACTGTAGACTGGGTCATTCCCACAGATAAAAAATTGTATTTTAAAACCTGAAAAGGTTGAATGTGATAAACTGATGCTGTCTATAGAAAAATCTTGCCCTAACCTACTTTATTTTCACTTTTTACCTGTGTCAATATATCTATATGGTATCATGTTTATTCCATCAGCAGTAATGTAAACAATGATATTGGGATCACTGCTAGTGTTAACCATGATGCTAAATCCTAATTAGGAAGTCCGATGCTATTCACAACTCCACAATCATCCCAATTCCAATGACCTGAAATTACTGAAGCAAACTTTTGTTTTCTGAAATTATGCAGTCATTTTTCCTGCAGCAAGTTACAAGCAGCATCTAGTGTATTGCTACTACCTCTCCAACACTTTTTTAAAACCACACAATTGGTACAAATGAAGGAAAATGAGATTACCTGCAGATGTTGCTGTAATTCCTGAACAAGATTTCTATTTGCTAATCATTTATTGTCTTTATCTGAGGCTTCATTTCAAAGGAATGAGTCTTCAACTCCAGTTGCTCTAACACTATTCTGCCCACCACGCCTTATAAAAGCAGGGACTATTCCTGTTCTCAGGGCAGTTGATACATTTCTACAAAACATTTGGCATTGTTGGACCCACCCACTAAATACCAGACAGTGTCTCCTCTGGATCTCACACATTTCCAAGTGTCCTCCCGGATAGAATCACTGCCCCAAGTTGGGTATCACTGTATCAGTGAATGCCCTTAAACCTCTGAGTAAGAAAAACTCCTATTTTGAAATGAATGGTTTAGTATTCATTTGTGAAAAATGATTTCTAGGTTATCCATAATTTATGACCTCACAGCTACTGGAAAAATAACTCAGGCTGTTTTTTTCTTTCCATCGCCAGCTTAATATAAGCTACAGAAGTACAAGCTGAATTTCTTCTAATTATCACTGGCCTGGGCCAAATGAAGTGGTTACCAAGTAATTATTTAAACTCACCCCCAAAACAGCCACATGACTGTTATGTAAGTTTCTTTATGTGAAGGAGATATTGCCAATTTTAAAATATTTGAGGTACTGAGGACCAAGTGATAACATCAAACTTCATTTTAGTTTAAGACTACACCCGTCAGCAAACCTCGTTTCCCAGTAACAGCAAAACAAACAAAACATTCCTGTTCCTACTCATATACTATCCTTAAACAACAGTCCAAAAGATGAACACTGTTAAGAAAAAAATAAATAAGTTCAATTTGACAACCTCGTTACCCTTCAATTAGTAATGACAAGTTATCACACAAAGGCTTGCTTCACAAATGTGTAAACAAAACCTTCACCCACTTCACACACAGCACTCAACAAACAACATATTATGTAAAACGAGTCTTAGTTTATATTGCCAGATTAAATTTTCTTCCAGAAATATTTTAATAAAAATCGGCCATTTCCAAGAAACACCCACTGCATGCCCATCAATAAAAGAGAACCATAACAAAACAGAAAATTTACTATATGGCTATGATTTAAAGGGGAGGGGGAAACTAGCAGACACGCAAGCACATCAGCACAGTCCAATATTAAAATCACATTCCTTCTCATGGGCTATGATTAGGATTCTGAACAGATACCGAAATAAAACTCAGTACAAACGCTGAACTCTTTAGGTCAAAGGACCTCTATAGAATCATCTGTCCTCAAAGGGATTCCAGTTTGAGACTCAATTTCAGAATAAGGCATAACAAATGAACAGAAGACATACAAGGTGAAAGAGGGGGTCTATGATTCCCAACATACTCTGAACCTGAAAAAACAAATCTAGACTTTTTTTTATTATTATTATTTGTCGATAAACAATTGCCAAGGCTGGAATCAAAGATAAATAGAAGGCACAACAGTTTTGCTCTGGTTTTTTGTTATCGGGATTGGGGCGGGGGGTGGTTTTTTTGTGTGTTTGTTTTTTGTACAAATACAAATTAAACACAAAAAAAAAAACTTTAAAAAAAACTAACAATTCAGGAGAAGTGTATCAGTTGCATTCTAGACATTTAAGACCTAATCTCACAATTTAAATTTCAATAGTAAAAACAGTTTTAGAATCATTTTGTGATCACATATCAAAAGAAAAAAACTCTAACAACACCTTTTATTATCAGTTTTTAACCATACCAGTGAAAATCAAATTTTCAATTTTTCCAGTGGCAGTTTCTCCACACCAGAACATAGTCATGACTCTCAAAGAAGAAACAATTTGGGTTTTTCCTGCCTTCAAAATGTTTATCAAATCCTGTATTTCTCAAAGGCTTTGAAACACATATAAAACAAGTAAGAAATATTCCAATGAATGAACATACCAAATGTCAGTAATAAGCAAGACACATTCCTTTGGGGAAATGGCTGTTAAAAAAAAAAAAAAATCCAGTCTGTATATGCAAAGTAAAGCAAGGAAGTTCAGTCTTTTTTTTTTTTCTTCTTTAAAAATCCATTTTTTCCTAAAATACCATTCCACAAAATTGGAAGTGAAGGACTAAAATGTGGGGAGAGGGAAGGGAGGGAGGGAGAACACACACCATTAACACAAAAAGTAAAATTACACAAACTTAAGCAGTTTATAAAAGACCAAGGGGTGGTTGAAGAATTCACCATTCTGCAGGAGCAGAGTGGCTTTGTACTGCTGCGTGGAGATCAGTGGAGAGCAATTCACTGTCGTGGAGCAATCCCCCTTCCCACTCCAAATCCCGGTTTCTGCACCATGCCTCCTCGGGGAGGGCCTCTCATGCCTCCGCCCAGCCCACCTCGAGGGCCGCCGGGTCCCCGCAGGCGGCTCTCTCGCCGGTCCCCTTCCCGCGCAGCTCGGGTCTTCTTCTCTTCCACGTTAAGCCGGACTTCACCTCTGAACATGATGGGCTATAAGAGTCAGATGAGCAGACTTAACACAGTGCTGATGGGCTACCAACTAGCAAAGATAAAGTACAGCTATTATAAAGAACCAGCAGCTTACAAATCACCTACATTCTCACGGTTCAGTTTTTATTTCAAATTCTGAACACATAATGCTCCCATTAATGAATACATGGAAAGGTGGTTAGGTATGCTGGCCAGTTCAAGTCAATTTAAACAGCACTGCAGCACAGGTAACTCGCATTGTGCTTGTATTAAAGTCAATCTTATTTTCCCATAGAATTCTATAGATAAGAATTGCCACCTTCTTAGAATAAAACCCCATCATCACCTAACGTGGAAAGATTGTGCTGCACATATTAATACAAAGTACACACACATCTCAAACACATCATTGATTTCATCTAAATATAACTTAAACAAAATGCTATTTGCCTTAATAGAATTTTGGAAAATACTAAAGATAGCATATCTTATTGAAAAAAAGTCTTTGACCATTTTTTTTTTCACTCAGTAAGAGCTGCAGTAGAAAACAAAGGGTCACTCAAGACTCCAATAAATCCGATGTGTACTCTTCACTGTTTTTCTGAAATATTTTTAAAAATACCTATCTAACAGTACTTATTATACAGAAGCGTTCTACATGCTTCACTTTATTATCTCATTTAATCTTCACAACTCTGAGGGTTGTTATTAGACCTATTTTAGAGGCCAGCAAACTAAGGACCAGGGAGGTGAAGGAACTTACTTATTTAAGCCCATGGGTCACAACGTTAGTGAGTGATGGAAGAGGAAATGTAAACCAGAGCATCCTGACTGGCAAGTATAAGCTTTGAGCCACTACACTACAGTAACACACATTGAACACCATGGTCATCGGGCTTACAGAAGTTACTCTGTACTCATAATAAATTCCTGAAGGGAGTATGGTAGACTTCTACCAATAAAGTGAGATGAGGGAAAAGCAAGCTACACTTGAAGATGCCAAAGTACAAAGGAGTGATCTGAAAGTATACACACACACACACAAAAAAACAAAAACACCTCTTTGAGCTAATTCTAATTTATATTTAAAATTTGGATTAAATATATATTTATATATTTATATATGTACATTTATAAATATATATTTTTTTAACACTCAACATAAATATTTGTTATATACACTATATAAATCACTTCACATGCAATCTGAAACACTGTTTCAGGCAATGTTCTAGATACAAGGAAAAAACAAAAACATATAAAGTCTGAAAGATTAAGGGAAGAGAGGTTGGGGATGGAGGTGTTTTAAAGCAGTTATGGAAGACATCTCTAAGGTGTTACCACAAGAGTAGAACAATATGAATGAAAAAAGTGTCAGACATACTCACAGCCTCTTTTCTAAGGAAATTTACCTCAAACAATTCGTATGCATAAAGAGGCCGCGCTTACGTACATTCATTAAATACAACAAACCCCTTACTTATCTTGGGCAATTAGGAAGCCAGCTATCAGGTCTGACCTTCGGTCTAAAGGGAGTATCACACCCTCTAAGGAACTATCAATTCAAAGTTGCACCACACAGCTGGGCCACTGGACCCGCTGCACACTACATGATGGATTTATCCACGAAACCTACTGGAGATTGCTGGGTTCGGTGTTCTGTGGCCTTCCTGAGATAAGCCACTGTTCTTTCATTTCCCAGTGTTGTGCAGGAGATGCTTCACAAAAGTAGTGATCAGTTTGAAAGATAATGCACACTTGCAGATTAAGGCTCACATAATGTTATCACCAAAACATTAAACTTTGAGTACCCATTAACACTGTGGAGAACATCAGCGGTTCTGGAGAACCTCTGGGAAATGATCTACAGCATTTCTATTACACGGCTAATAAAATGCATAGTATTAATTTACAGAGACTGACACCAGATTAGTGGTTGCCAGGGCTGGGGAGAGGGGATATGGGGATGGGAGAGCGACTGCTTAATGGATAAGGGGCTTACTTTCGATGAAAATGTTTGTAACTAGATAGGCAATGGCTGCACAACAATGTGTGTTAATAAATGTTACTGAATCGTACATTTTAAAATGGTTAATTGTATGTTTTGTGAATTGCACCTCAATTTTTTTAAAAGTAAGGTTTTAAATAATCCCACACCCATCACAGTAAATTAACAATTATTTATCCCTTTGTTCTTCTCTACTACTATTGCTACAAAGTGTTTTTTGCTAATGAAAGACGTGGGAGGAGGGAAGAATTCTTTAGGAACTACATGGTAAAAAGATGTCAATTCTACAAATCCCTCTACTATCAGAAAGGACTCATACTCCTCCTCATAGCAACATTAATAAAAGTGGATCAAGGAAGGGTGACTCCTAGCCCAGACAATAGATAGAATAAAAAGAGAAGCTCCTCCTAGTTATACTCAGACAACTGTTATATACCCAGGCTTCCCGAAACTGGCTCTTCCGTTATCTTAGCTCAGTTCACATTGTATTTCATCTCCAACACCAGAAACCACCACCAAGGAAAGGAATTTGCCTAAATCTAAGTGCACTGGTAACTATTAGTTATTTCATTCTCATCATTCACTTATTCAAAACCTAAGTCATTTAGACACAAATTTTGTGTTTTTAAACTCCCATGTAGTTCTTTTGATAATAATGTTTGAATATGATGTAATATATTACCCAAACGTTGGAATAAATTGCACTTTACATATGACATAGTCGTAAGAATGAATACACTCAAAGACCCAACATATACTTAAAAAAAAAAAAAATCAAGATGAAAAACTGCTTACCCTGTTGCTAAGGACCTTCTGAACAGGCTCAGAATCATCAAACACAACAAAACCAAAATTGGGTAATTTCCCACCGCTGTTAATGCGCAGTTCAACCACATTCCCATATTCTGCAAATGAAATACAAATTCTGAAATAACTTATCAGAACATTTATAATATTACATACACACTGTACAATATGATAGCCTCTAGTCACATCGCTACAAAGCACTTGAAATGTGTCTAGTCCAAAATAAGATGTGCCATAAGTGTAAACAACACACAATTTCAAATGTAAACTCTTTCTTATATTTTCACATGTTGAAATGAAATTTTAGACACATTGCATTAAATAATTATATATGTGGCTCATCTTCTATTTCTACTGGGCAGTGCTGCATTAGATGAATCTAGTGTTTAAAACTCAATAACCTACTTTGAAAAAAATCTTTAAGCTCTGATTTGTCCACCTCGTGAGGTAGATTGCCAATGAAAAGTTGGTGACTGTCGGGGTGTCTCACAATTCTTCGGGGTTCAACATCGCCTTGCTCACCAGCTTCACGAACTTAGAGAGAAAACAAAAACAGCAATAAAAGACAAAGGACATTCTTTTCAGCAACTGTTCCCTTCAATAGTTTTCTCTCTACCCTAAATACAGGTAATTCTATCCACTCTAAACTTTAAGTAAACAAATATCAAGCACCCCCCCCCAACACAAGCTCTCACCTCAAAACCCCCAAACTAGCTAGGTCACCCTTCTGAGCTCTTACTTGGTCTAGGCCCCCTCTGAGGAGGAATATTTATTCGTTGTTCTCGCACTCTTTGATCCCTCTGAGGCCTCTGTGGTGGAATCTGAGATTCAGGCTTAGACTCCGGGCGAGGCTGAAAAATATGTAAGTTAACTTCTGTGTAAAAGCAAAGCAAGCTTACTTTTTTTTCTCTTATGAAGTTTCTTAGCTAACAATAAGGTTTAAACTAGAACATGACAACTTACAGACACACAATCATTAAAAACCACCTGTACCCTTCTCTGCTTTATATACCAGTTTCCACTTTCTCTAAACCTCTATGAAAGGACATTACATGAAATACAAGTAAATGTTCTTTAATATACAAGCTTAATTAGAAACTCACCTGTGAAGCTGGTACTTTAACAACATGAGGTGGTATCCCAGTAACTGGAACAGCTCCACTGGGTGGAAGGTTCTTACTGGTCACAGACGCCCAGGAAAATGTCTAAGGTAACAACACCAACACCAGGTGATTACACCGTATATCAAAACACATAAAAGCTCTTCGCTCTTGATTTCCTGTGCATCATATATGCATCATATTTTCATAGGTAAGATGGAGTTTATAAGTATCTTGAGATTCCCCTTCCACCCCACCCCCCGTTTACAAATTTTGTACTAACATTTCTTAGGACTACTAGGATACCAACTTTAGAATGATCTTGAATACCTTTTCAATCCATATCAAAACTCACCAAACCCCATTATTTAACTGTTAATTATCTTCTCTCCATCTCAACCGCCATGAACCTAATTCAAAATATCATCATCTCTCTCCAGGACTACTATAGCAGCCACCTAACTGGCCATTCATTATCAATCCAGCCAACCTTCTTTTCTATCTGCAAGCTAAAGTCATCTCACCATTTCTTTCCTCCTCACCTACTAGCTAAAGGAGAGACCAAGAACCCTACCCATTTTACAGATATTTCCTATACCTAGAATAATGCCTACCACATAAGCACTTGAATTAACTGTTGGACATACATAAATGACATTATAAGAATCCTGACCCGGGCCGGCCAAATGGCTCAGTTGGTTAAGAGTCGGCTTAAGAGCACGAGCTCTGAGCAACAGGGCCACCAGTTCAATTCCCACATGGCCCAGTGATGCTGCACCCCAGCTGAGCTGCCAACAGGTGACAGGATGGCTCAGCTGGTATAACAAGATTGCCTGTTCGATGGTGGGCTATGCCCATCCGCAACTAAGATTGAACTCGGCACCTTGAACTGAGTTGTCGCCCGGATGGCTCAGTGGATAGAGCGTGTGCTCTTAACAACAAAGCTGCTGGTTCAACTGCATGGGATGGTGGCTGCGCCCACCTGCAACTAAGATTGAACACAGCACCTTGAGTTTAGAGGCCACGAGCTGCAGACGGGCAGCCAGATAGCGACTGGCACCCTCCACAACGAAGACTAAAGATCAACTTCCAATTCCCCAACAGTGTTCTCCTCCCCAATCCCCCAATAAAATCTTAAAAAAAAATTAAAAAAAAAAAAAAAAAAGAACCCTCACCCCATAAATACAGCACTGAAACATATTCCTCCACAGACTATCAAATATAAAGGTACTGTGAGTTCAGTGAACATCATCCTGATGTGACTCAGGGGAAGTAACTTTTCTGAAAAGCTTCAAAATTTTGAAAACAGGTATTATAATTAGAAAAGTAGTTATATTTCAACTGTTTGTTTCTACTGCTACTGTAAAGTTATCCTCAAATTTCACAGGAAAAAAGTCTACTGTGCCATTTTATTTTTTAAAAAAATATGCTCACTCATTTAATAAGCATGTAATAACTTGCAAATAGCAAATGTAAAACATGCAATTTGAAGGATGAAATATTAAAAAGATGAAGAGTTGTTGATATGGTGATAAAAATAAAATAGCACCTGCAATTTCTTGTCTAAAAAGTATTCACGTTACCTTAGGAGGAAAGTTACTTTTGATTTTACAAAGCATCTTACTGAAGTATGGCTCAATATGTAAGAAACTTCCCTGTATGACAAATATGTAAATGCACCTACAAAGGAAAACCAAACAATAATAAGGGAGAAGAGAGATGTTTTTAAACAGGCTAGAAATAGAAAACAAAACGAAGACCTGTCACATACCCTCAAGTCTTCCTGCACGGTCTGCGCTATGTCGGTGGGTGCTGGAGAAGAGCTCTTCTGAGCATCCTCAGGAGCAGCTTCTTCCAATACTGGCTCAGACTTTTCCTCCTGGATTTCAGATACAGGTTCTTGCTCCGGTTCCGGTTCCGGATCAGGCTCTGGTTCAGCAACAGGCTCCTCCAGATGTTCTTCCAAGTCATTGCTTTCACAGGAAAATTTGAGAAATATCATTCTGCCTCCATTAATTTAGCAAGAAATTTCTAAGTATTTATTAACTATAGAGACCAGAACCCAAAAATACCTCCCTCCCTCCAAAAAAGATCTAAGAAATACATCTGAGTATTAAAACAAGACAACTTTTTAGAAAAGCACTCAATGAGCTAATCTTAACTAAAGTCAGATTGGCTAAATTCTCATAAGCAAATGCATCAAAATGGGTTAAAATGAACTGCATCATTATTTCTCAGTTAGACTCCCAAAACTATTACAACTTAGCTGTCACTCTCTCACAATGCTCTAACAGGCTGTAGGGAGGGAGGAACGGGCAGTTGCGCTGTTCGATGGGTAAACTCAGTTTTGCTGATGAGAAGTCCTAGAGACAGATGTGTTACTGTGCTACACAATCATGTGCATAGTAACTACTATACAGTACGCTTAAAAACTGTTAAGGTAAATTTTACATTATATGGTTTTTACCACCAAAAAAAACCCCTTTTAATAAAAACAAGAAATTTAAGAAAAAAGACAATATTTATTGATTCCAAATGGTTCTTAAACTTCCACATAAATCAGTTTGTTAAAGCTGCAGCTGTTTCTCCCCCTCCAACCTCCCCCCCCCCATTTTAATTCTGGGAGGTTTGTGGTGCAACAATAAATCACTGTCAACCCACCCAGGTGAGTACTGTGGTTAGTTCATCACTCCACCTTGAGAAACATTTGAAAATATCTTTTAAGCACTGAATACTATTATTACTGGTATCACATGGCAACAAGTATTAATTTCTATTCCTATCAAATATATTTCTGTTCCAGTTGCAGATTTAAAAAAAGAAGAAAAAAACCCTAAGATACAATCACGCATTCATTGTCTGAGTTAATTAATGAAATTCTTTACTAACTACTATTATCTCATGTCTGAATTTCTATCAATTTATGCCTGATTTCTAAGTAAGTCCTTGTACACTTTATATTCCCCCCACAGCACTTAATGCAGTGGCTTGATATGTTAAATACTTGGTAAGAAATCCCAACTCTTTTTCACTTACTGCCCAGAAAAAGATAAACCAAAAAGCAACTGATGGGTACTAAATAATGCTCCTAGTGCAATCTATATTAAACACATTACAGATTTTTGTTAGCTCCAAGATACCAAAAGCAAAACCTTTCTTCTGGGAAATTATCATTATTTTGTGAGATAATTCTGAGAATACATGACTACCCTCAAACAAAGGGAAAGACCAACCACCCCAAGTCTCATGCAGCTCTGGGCAGATGAACCAAATTTTCCTTACCTGACAGCCTGATCATAAAAAGTTCCAGAATCGTCAGGTACCACCTCAGGTGTCTGCTGTCTTTCTTCAGGTTCCTCTACTTCTTCCTCAGATTCTAAGTGAGAAAATAAATTTAAAGTAATTTGTACTTACTTAATTCACAAACATATTCACTTTCACAATGTTCATCATAATAAAAAGGGCAATGAAATACGAAAAGCAGATATATATAAAAAGGAAAGAAAATAAGACAATTTAGTAAAATCAGTTTGTTTTAATGATAGAATTAAGGCAGCTGTAGTGTTTGGGTTAAGAGCATGGAATGAGGTCATATTTCCAGTAATCCAATACAGGCTTTACCACCTAGCTAACTATATGACATTAGGCAAATTACTTCTCTGCATCACAGTGCTCCAACCTATTAAATGGAAACAAGAGTACTTAAAGTATAAGGCTATTGTATTATGCAATAAATATAAAGCACTTAGAATCGTCTCAGCCACATAGAAATTATTTTGAGACAATTTTCCATGGGTCTCTTGTGTTTCTACACATCTGACAATTGAGGCAATGGCTACCCTTTATTCCAGACTACCCTTTTTTTTTTTTTAAACATTTTATTGGGGAATTAGGGGAAGAGAACAGTGTTGGGGAATTGGAGAAGGGGACCGGCCAAGTTCTTGTTCTTCAATCTTCGTTGTGGAGGGCGCCAGTTGCCATCTGTCTTCCCGTCCGCAGCTCGTGGCCTTTAAACTCAAGGTGCTGTGTTCAATCTTAGTTGCGGGTGGGCGTAGCCCACCATCAAACAGGCAATCTTATTGTTACACCGGCTGAGCCATCCTGCCACCTGCTGGCAGCTCAGCGACAGCTCAGCTCAGGCGCGTCACTGACCCATGTGGGAATTGAACCCGTGGCCCTGTTGCTCACAGCCCACACTTTTAAGCCAACTTTTATCCAACTGAGCCACTCGGCCGGCACCCAGACTACCTTTTAAGGACATTTACACAGCAAACAACTTCAGAAAATAGTGTGTCCCTCCAGAGCCAAGGGCAGACATGTTTACTGCCCATTATAAAAGACTTGGAGGGCCAGCTGAGTGGCTCAGTTGGTTAAGGGCTCGCTCAAAGGTTTGAGCTCTGAGCAACAGCGGTTCGAGTCTGGCCCGAGCTGAGCTGCCACTGAGCTGCCAACAGGTGGCAGGGTGGCTCAGCTAAAAAAATAAAAATAAATAAATAAATAAATAAGATTTGGGTTCCCTAACCTTTAGGTTCCACTCTTGTAACGCACCCTACTGCAGCACAGGTATCTTTTGGACTTCATGATGTCCTGTGGAAACAGTGGCAAATGCTACTATCATTGCTGTGAGTATAACCTGTCTACGTCTTCTTTTTTTTTTTTTTTAAAGATTTTTTTATTAGGGAATTGGGGGGATGGGAACAGTGCTGGGGAATTGGGGGAAGGGGGACAGACAAGTTGCTGTCATTTTGTTCTTCAGTCTAGTTGTGGAGGACGTTGCTTCACTGGCCCAAGTTGGCACCATCATTGCGCTCTTCCCAGGCGAGGCAGATCAGTCGCCGGCTTCTGGACGGCCTCTCACTGCGGCTGCTGGCCGCTCATGCTGGCTGCTGGCTACACACGGTAGCCCATGGCAACCCACTGCCACAGGGGCTGCAGCCTACGCCATCGCCGGTGACTCCCGGCAGCCCAGCTCCAGGTTGAGCTGTTGTTCAGCATCTTAGCTGTGGAGGGCAGTGTCACTGGCCCTCATATGTGGGATCCGAACCGGGGCCCTCTGGCGTCCCAAGCCAGTTCTTAACCATCATGCCACTCGGCCAGCCCAACCTGTCTACTTCTGACTTAGTCTTCTACCAGTATGTGCGAAGTAGGTTACCCTTTAAACTTCAAAAAGGTTTAAAACTCACACCCTTCATGTCTTGAAAATTATAACAGGAGTTACTAATGAAGAATACAGAGTACAATGAAAACATTATAAGAAACTCATTTCTCTTCAGGTCAACTGATGCCATCAAATAATTTGAACAAGTAACTTACCCTCCTGAGGCTCAGTGACAAAGCCACCAAAGACCTCATCTTGGTATCTGAAAATATCGTTGTGAACATAGAACTTATTTGCAACAGAACCCTGCAATGCAAACAAAAAGTTTTCACTTATTCAGCAGACTTTTAAAAAACCAAATCACCCTATACCAGTGGTTGTCAACCAAAGGCCATATGCATGCCACTTGGTAGTATCTGCAGACACTTCAGTTTTCACATCAGGAAGTCCAAGTGACAACTACTGAGTAGCAGTCAGGGATGCTGCTAAACATCCTTCAATGTACAGGACAGCCAGGCACGACAGACTTATTCAGTCCAAAATATTAATAACACCAAGAGTGAAAAACTCCCTTACATTATGGCAGTTAAAAAACTACACTCTGGCCACACCTCAAATCATTTCTTAAACAATACATACTACCAATTGCAGCAGGTATTTAAAATTTCCTAAATCTGTATCCAAGACTATTCACACAAGCACTCAAGGATGGTGTAGCTGAAAAGATCTGCCTGTACTAAATAAGACAAATTTGAGTCTAAATTCAACTATATCAATTACCAGTTATTCAACTTCTAAGGCTGTTTCCTCATCTGTAAAAAGGAATACCATCAACATATATACCTTAGAGCTTTGATTACATATTAGATAAGGTAGTTTATGTAACAACGCACTATATACTAAGTTAATGTTAGTTTCTTCCTCTTCAAAGGAAAAAAGGAACTGTAAGTAAACTCTCTTGGCAATCATCTCCCTCATGATTCTTTGCATATTTAGAAGTCCATCAACAGTTTTACACTGCAGATAATCTAAGCTTTCCTCTAAAAATCATGACTAAAATGATCTCATGTAATTAATTTTTCAAAGATAATTGAGTTATATTTTATATTCAAACAGATAAATGATAGGGGTGTCAGATTCACTAACCTAAACAGAAAATTATCTTGAGTAACGCTAGGAAGAAGAAAAAAAAAAAAATAGTACTGCTAGAGAAAACATTTCATCAGCAAGTCCTTATTGAGCCACTTCTACATGCTTATTCTTATTCAGATAGGCTTCCTGCTGATGAGTCAGCAGGGACCAGTCAGGAAGACTGTACAAATACAATTATTTGACATAAACCTGTGGTCCTTTCATGCTAACTATGATAACTAAAAAGGAGCAGATCCCAGGCTGGGGCTGGAGCTGGAGCTGGAGCTGGGGCTGGGGCATGGACAACGCAAGATGAGCCAAAACATCTTGTGCCACAAAGTTCAAGTTCTCAAAAAAACAAAAGAAAATGCATAGGGGAGTTCACCACCACATCTGAAATATTTTAGATATCAGCATAAAGTTAACAATGGATTAAATCCATTAAATAAAGACTTTATGTGAGTGATTAACAGATAGAAAAAGCAAGGTTCTTTACAGTAAAATGCCAACTAATAAATATAGAATGATAGAATCGGGTAATCACCATTTGCAACCATCAGAGTAGCAGTTGGTTCCCACCAAGAATCATCAATGAATACAAAAATAGTATATAAGTTTGATGAAGAACAGGATATTTGCATAGTCTCAAAGAATTATCCACCATTTACTTACTAAAGTAAAAACACTAACTTTTCAGTAGTGAAACCTGTTGACCATCACCTTAACTAAATGATCCAAGTTAACATCACTAACTACAGGAATAAATGGCATCAAGAGCCTTCCTAATGTGAGGCACTAGAAAGACACGTGTATAACTTGAATCTAATAATAAGGGAGTATCAGACAATTCAAATTGAGGCATTCTACAGAGGAACTTCATCGTGCTCTTCAAAAGATTAAAGAATTATTGCTGATTAAAGGAGACTAAAGAAAATTATAGTTACACACAATGTGTAATCCTGGATTGAATCTTGGACCAGGGGGAAAAGTTACTATATAAAGGACATTGGGACAATAACCAAAATGTAAATATTGACTATAGACTGATACTTGCATTACAACAATATTTCTTAAATTTGATAACCGTACTAAGATTATGGAAGAGGATTCCTTCCTTATTCTTAGGAAATGCTCACTTAAAGATTTGAGGATGACTGGGCATGATATCTCCAACTTCCTTTCAAATGGTTTAGATTTTAAAATGATAGGTAAAAAGAATTAGGAACATGTGGACAAGTTCTGACAGTGGCTCTAGGTAAGGAGTATGTTGGAGTTACTACACATGCAACTTTACTGTAAGTTTGAAATTTCAAAATGAATAGTTTTTAAGAGATGCACAGCCTTTCACTGTTTCTTTGTTCATACCTCAGGAGCCAGGACGAAGGTCTGCATGAACCTCCTCAGAGACTGGTTGTTGTTAGAGAGCAAGCCCATCACCTGGACCACCACACCATCATTCAGAGTGGCATGAGCATCAACATGGCGGATCTTAGTGTGGCAGTTGGTGAAGTTTTGTGACATCACTTTCCTATGGATTTCCTAAGGAATCAAAGCACGAGTTACCGCCTTAAAATTTACAGTCTTCAACAACAACAAAAAACTTTCTAACACAACACAGGTAAAGAATCTGCATGTTTACATTACTCTACTTTGTCTAATACAGCACATCCTCTTCACCACCCTTGAGCCTTTTATAACACTGTCCTTCATTAACATATCTAAAAAGTGCTTACAATCAATAATCCCCACGCTAAAACCAATTATCTTCCAACATCAAAAAACTTACATTCTAATCATACAAAATGAGCAAATGTGACACCATAAGTTTCTCAATGACTATCACATTAATCAAAGTTACTGAATACCTAAACTTCTAAAAAGTTGAGAAATCTGATCTTTAAGTATCAGCACATCTATTAAGCATTAAGCCATCCCAGTGTTATGGGTTCTTTCCCAGCTGCTTACCAGCCCACATACAGCTTGGAATGCTTACTTTCTGTCCATAGACTGCATCTGCTGGCTTTCCATTTGAATCCAATCCCCCATGAACATAAGAAGAGTTCTTTCCATAAAACCTGTAGAACAGGAAGATAATTTACTGTCATCTTCAAGTATCCTAAGACCAAGTATTTATTTTTCATGTTTGGTACCTAACTGCCTCACTGGCAGATTCGTGGAGGCAGGAATGTGTTTTCTTTTTCATCTTTGAAGGCAATCAGACCCATCCCCTAAGGGCAGTCAACACTTGCTGAATGGGAATGGATTTGGTCAATGAGACAGACACTTATTTTACAAGTTCCAAGTCCCAGGTTTCAGGGTAGATGATCATGTTGGGGAAAATCCTGTAGTTCATGTCAGGAAGGCCATTTAAAATAAGCAGAAGTTCCTGTTTTCACTCAAAAATAAAACAGGCAGTTTTGATATAGATGAGTACATCTATACTCTCCATAGAGCTGCAGAGTCCTTTTATATCTCATGCATGCATGTGAGGAGTTCCCATTAAAAACCCAGGAACTCATGCAGGTGGGTTTTAGCAGTTTTTAATAATTTTTGCTGGTACACTTAGAGTTATACACTTTAATTCCCATAGCTTTAATTTTTCTCTCTTCTCAATTGCTTTGTTTTCATTACAATACTATACTGGCTCAGAAAGGCCACATCCACCCACCACCCACCAGCAGGAAATACCCAACCCAAGGAAAACCACACTGTATGGATGGATTTCTTGATATCTGTACTCAGATAAACAATTTTTCACAAATGAGCCCATACATGCCATTCTACATCCTGATTCTGCCTCCCTCTGCCCCTCAAGAAGGGGAAAGCTCGGGGACCACAAGAACCCCAAGTCTACCTTTTAGCTATCAAAGTTATTAAAAGGTTGCATATCAGCCAGTGAAATCAGTTCACTGCTGGCTAAGCAACTTTTCATTATGTCTAAGATGTACCTCAGAGATGAAGTGTGAAAAAAAAAAGATGTCTTAGAATCAATAAATAGCAATACTGACATGAAATATATCAATGCATCTGGTTAGTTTCAACTCCTGCTCCTTTTTAAACTCAAATTTATCTAACTTGTAATTGTAAGGGCACATAATAAAATTTGACATAAAACAGAAAAAAAGTAAGTTTGAAGACTTTTTTTATCACTTAATAGTCATGTGAATGCTTGCAAATTTTTAACCCCTTAGCATCTTTACCTGCAAGATGCAGTTAACTCTCCTACAATGCTTTTATTAAAAGGTTTGGGGAAAAGATCAAGGGAAAACAGGTGAAAGTTTCCTTAAAGAAAAAAGTATCACAAGAGATATTTTCCATTTTCATTGCAAGGACTCAAAATGAATTTATAAGGGAACCCCTGCACACTGCTGGTATGAATGCAAACTGGTGCAGCCACTATGGAAAACAGTATGGAACTTCCTCAAAAAATTAATAATAAAACTACCATATGACCCAGCAATCCCTTTTCTGGGTGTCTACCCAAAAAATCTGAAAACACTTAAATTCATCAAGATAAATGTACCCCATGTTCATTATGGCATTATTCACAATAGCCAAGACATAGAAACAACCTGTGTGTCCTCTGAGATGACTGATACAGAAGATTATATATATATATATATATATATATATATATATATATATATATATATATATATAAAGTAAAATGCAACTCAGCCATGAACAGGATGAAACTATCATTATTTGCAACAACATGGATGGATCTTAAGAGTATCATGCTGGGCCGGCCGAGTGGCGCGATGGTTAAGAACTGGCTTGGGACGCCAGAGGGCCCCGGTTCGGATCCCACGTGTGAGGGTCAGTGACACTGCCCTCCACAGCTGAGATGCTGAACAACAGCTCAACCTGGAGCTGGGCTGCCGTGGGTCGCCGGCGACGGCGTAGGCTGCAGCCCCTGTGGCAGTGGGTTGCCATGGGCTATCGTGTGTGGCCGGCAGCCAGCGTGAGGGGCCAGCAGCCGCAGTGAGCGGCCGTCCAGAAGCCGGCGACCGTTCTGCCTCGCCAGAGAAGAGCGCAATGATGGTGCCAACTTGGGCCAGTGAAGCCACGTCCTCCACAACTAGACTGAAGAACAAAACGACAGCGGCTTGTCTGTTCCCCTTCCCCCAATTCCCCAATAAAAATCTTTAAAAAAAAAAAAAGAGTATCATGCTAAGTGAAAGAAGTCAGATGGAAAAGAACAAGAACAGTATGATTTCACGTACCGTATTTGCCGGCGTATAAGACGATTTTTTGGCCTTGAAAAATATGCCTCCAAGTGGTGGGTCGTCTTATACGCCAGGTACACTTCAGATAGACTGCCCATAGTGCTTGCCCC